GAAGAAGATAAAACTTCCGGGAAGAAACTTGCTGAATTATTGATCTTGTGGTACCTTATTTCTCCAGAAATCACGAGCTTTCATGATTATCTTTTGAAAAAAAAAATCTCATAATCCTTAAAAATCGAACTGTAAAACAGCTAACTGGCATGGCAACCGGGAAATTTTATGGAGGTGGTCCGTGAAGGGCAGATAGATGGCGAGAATGGCTCCAAAGGGCCTGGGCCTCCTAGGGGCCCCCGAGAATTTGAAGCCCCAAAATAAGAGACATTTTATTCAAAGAACAGGAATTTGAAAAAGAATAAAAGGCCCCCCACAGAAACATTGTCATGGGCCTCTTCTGGGTTCTCGACGTCCTTACCTTAGGCAGACACGGATGCGATAAAGATTTACGGTTGTGAAGATCCTGTTGCGTAGAGGCTTGCAAACCTCAAAAGTAGTTTTGAAGATGAGATAAGGGATTTTCTAAGCACTTTGCTCAGAAATCTTCAGAATAATAATTTTTCAGAACAGCTGAGTTTTAAAAGACGAAGTAAACAAGATGCTAATTAGTTACTTAACGCAGTTTAGGTAATTTCATGCCTGAACCAATATTTCACGTTATTTAAAACGTCCTCTAAAATATAATTTTACGTATAATTAATATTTAATGAAACCTCTTCAAGGAAGGAAATGCTTTCAATGGACAGATACATACTTTTAATGCAGCGTGTATAAAATATTTATTAATTTTTTTATTATATGTAGATCTCTCGAGTAGACAGCATGGGTGCTCTGTAGTAGATACATAAAACTTTAAAACGTGAATAAATTTTATCTTTTTAAAACAGAATTAAAATGCGTGTTATGTAAATAATTTTTTTACAATTTAGTTTTTGATATTTTACAGTTATTAAATAAGAACAGCAAGAAATATTAAAATTCACATTTCTAGTTTTCGCATGAAAATTTTTTTAAACATTAACAACAAGTTTCCTTCAATAGCCACTGCTCTAAGCAAACCTTTTTCGAAAGTGACTCTAACTTCTGACATGCATAGCGATTTAAAAAATCCTTGAGATATAAAAAAGAACACATATAAAAATATCCCGTATAAAAAATCCTTGGTAAGACCAATATAAAAAATTCTTGAAATGGAAAGTTTTCTAAGTCTTCCACAGACATCCAAATTCTTTGCAACACAGGTTGCTTCTGTTTAAAGAAGTTTTATTGCGATTCTTAAAGCGATATCGGTCGTCATAATTATAGTAGTAACAGTACAAATGCTTTGTTAGCAAGTCGAAGCATTTATTTACGTATAATATGTAACATAAAATTTTAGCTAAGATTTAAAATAGATATCTTAAACAATCAACTAAATGATTGATAACAGTTTGAATAAAAACATAAGGATTCTTAACGCGCCTAAAATTTTGCACAATGAGGAACGTACACTACGTTATTCATAGGCATTTAGCAAAGTTTCTCGAATCAACATTCTGGTTAACTGCAATTATGGAAACAAACAACACTGAATTAATGATTCTAAGGCACTTCAAATTCTTTTAGATCTCGTGTTTTTTTCCCTGTTTCATTCTTTACAGGCAAATACATATGCTAGATTTTCTATGTATTTTATTCTTTATCATAAAAATTAGTGTAATTCTAAAATAAAACTGTCTTTAAACTCAATACATAGGCCATATCACATGTTTTATAAAGTGAAAACATTATCCCAGGATATCATAAGCAAAAATACGCGAAAAGATACTTTTCGTTTGTTGTTTGCATGTTTGGTTTCCGTCGTTAAACGCGTAACGTGAGTATAAGCCAGTTTCATTAAGAAAGGCCTCGACGAAGGTATCTCTTTCTAGTTAGATAGCTCTCGTGGACTTTGTCGTATTCAAGCGTAATCTAGCCAACTGCTTTGGAAGCGGTATCCTCATAATAATCTGTATATCGGAGATTCCTGAGATTTTTCCAAAAGTTTGCAAATTCTATATGATCGAAGTGTCTCTATGCTTGAAGCTGAATCCTGGTGATTTCAAGACATATGCATCTTATAGGAACTAAAATTTTTGGATACTTTGTAGAGCGATTAGAAAATTCAGTGATAACATCTTAGCATTTCGAACTTCGGACTTCCCGACATCCAGCCAAACGTACTCCCAATTACACTACGAAAGCATAGGATAAGAAAGAAAAAAAAAAAAAAAAAAAAAAAAAAAACCTTACCTTACATTTTCCCTATTTAAAGGCGGTCTTCGCCTTCCAGTCTCCAAATCCAGGTGGTTATGAATTATCGTCTATCACATTTTAGTTCAGATGTCACTTGTAGAACGATTAGGCATTTACTCAAGCAGAAAATCTGAAAAATCAGCCGAAATTCGAGCTGTAGGCCTTCCGATCGCCAGCGGGACGTGCTTCGATTTACACCTCAAAGGCACATGGTAAGGAAGGAGAAAAGTCCATTACAACCTTATTACACACCAGAAAATTGTCTCATTATTTCGACATCCAATATCTGCCCTATGTCAATTGATAAGTAACTATGTTTTTCCATGTTCCATTGACCGATATTCACAATTCAATTAGCCTTTTCACGAATTTTACAATTTTTTTGACTTGGCATCTTCAGATACAGTTTTTCAGCTTCTGCTTTTTGAAGGTGGCTTTGGAAAGGAAAGAAAATCCAACGCGTAGAAGAACTTGATGCTGTGAGTTAACCTCGGGATATAAATAACAAAAGAGTTCTCATTTTTTATTTTTTTGGTACAGATATATTCGTTTGATCAAAAGCAATATTTTCATTTCAAGCAAATGTTCTAAGGCAAGCCAAATTGAGAATCTTCTGTCAGATAATGGTATTTATTCAAACAATTAGGGCAGAAAATACAGCTACCTCCTTATGCAAAAAATGCAGTAACACACAGTAAGTGCAGCAGACACAGCTACCTCCTTATGCAAATTGCATATATTAATCAAAAAAAAAAACATATTCACTGATGTGTAATCGAACGATTACACCATCACATTCAACATTTTGATTAGGAAAGTAACAAACTGTTTAATACGGAGCAGAAGTACAGTAATACCACATTCAGATTAGCATTAATCAGAAAATTAGAAAGCTTGAAAACTGGTTGATCAGAAAAAAACAAAATTAGGTTGACCTAAACAAAACTAGTTGATGAGAACAGAATCAGGACGATCAAAAGATTAGATTGATTAAAAATTACATTCATGTTGAAGTAATGAGAAAATTAGATTAACGTTGGCTTTTATAAACAATTTTTCTGCTCGTGAAAGATTGAGTTCCCAAGTAATATGAGATAAGGGTAACACAATATTCATTTAAGTAATACAAAGTTATAAGTTTGACGCCAAATAATGTGTTATTATCCTTACTCAAAACCACTACTCATCGCAGCAAGAATAAGGTGAGATTCCGCTTTTTCAAACAGCAGAAATCTTCTGCTTATTGTCTTAAATTTAAGCAAAATACATAAAATAAATAATTTAAATAATCTTTTTATAAATACTCGCAATATGGAACATTAAGAGGTAAAATATTAACAAATAGAATTTTACCTTCTATAAGAAATGTTATTGCATTTAGAAGTTAGACAGTCCAATTCGTTGCAGATTGAAGATGCAAAACACAACAGTACGTTCTTTACATTCACTGATATATGAGATTTTTTGTGTATCTTCAATATTAGAAAAGTGTCTTGCTCATAAACGTGAAGAAATTAATAATTTAAAAATTATTAGCTCAAAGGAGCGTTAGTTCAAAAGGTCTATTAGTCAAGGTCTATTAGTCTATTAGTCTTTATTAGTTAGTCAAAAGGTCTATTAGTCCATTAGTCTTTATTAGTTAGTCAAAAGGTCTATTAGTCTTAAAACGGCATTTTGTAGCGTTTCACTATAAATGGCGAATCACGTTTTAAATTGCTTCCACCAAATAATATCGTTTTGTATTATATTTAAAGAAATTAAATAATGAAAAATCTGCATGGATGTATGTATGTTTCTCGCACTGTAAAACGACAACATCCAGAGCCATCAAATTTTGAATAATGTAATCTTCCACCCGATAATGGGCACCTGGACGATAATGGGACTGGACATGAATCTAATAATTAATCCCCGATAATGGGCACCTGGACGCCCGAATTTACAATTTGTTTTATTATCTGTTTCATATTTTGTAAGACTTTAACAATTTTTATTTAACAAACTCAACAATTTCAAAGCGAGTAATGGCAATACCTGTACAGAAATACCACTTTTATCTCCACCTCGAGAATGTGTATCGGAAATTCTAAAGATATGCTATTTTATTGTGTGATATTGCTGTTGAATTGAATTGTATGTGGTTTAAGTGCGAAGTACTTGATATTTAGTAAACAAAGGTAGCATTCAAAATGTTCAAAAAGCACTAGTTTGGGCGTAATATAAAAATTGAAGCTTTCAGATTTTTTTTCTATTTGTGTTTTTAATAATATTTCTCAACAAATGTTATTTTGCAATAGCGCAATAAATGAAATATGTTTCTGTAGTGTAACAATGTATTAAGCGGAATACGCGAAACAAGTTTCTGAAGATATTTTGATGATTTCTATTCCCTCTGTATATTTATCAAAAGTTTTATTGAAACTGTATTTTTTAAAAATATTTCGCTGCATTTCTGTTTATATCATTCTATGTTACAAAAACAATGCAGGATTAAAATGTAAATTCTTCTTGATATATTTAATTTTATTCAAAAACCTATAACAGCAGACGCAATCATTTTTATGTGAGAAGAAGAAAGAGATATCAATGTAATATTTTATATTTTATTTAGTTAAATTACTTTTTAATGGTAAACTTTTCTTCGAAGTGTTAAATTATAACCTAAAGTCTTAAGACTGCAAATTATTTTTTTCTAGTATTGCACTAATAATAATTACGGTAATAACAATAATAATAAAAATGATAATAATAATATGAATAACAAGATAAAAATGTAAACTTACCACCATTTAAAAAATGTAGCACTAATAATAATGTATGCTACGATGAAAATTAGAAACAGTGTCAGCAGGCCCAAATGTAGAAGTAAGGAACTTTTTCAATCGGTAACTATGATCCCTGTGGCAAGTTATAGCAATGCTTGCGGTATTTGACCTGTAGGAGATACTGGAGGGTGAACCCCAATCTAGAAACTTCCATGTCAGAGAGGACTGGTTGGGTAATAATGAGGGGGAAGATTTGGGGGTAGGGAATAAGTTAATTCAATGATTGCGGAACTATTTTTTCATAATAAATATATCGCATTATATTTTGCCATTAGGATATTTTTCTGGAGCAAAACATCTCTTAAAGTCTGAAAGGAGTATTCCTTGTACCCCTTTCAGAAAAATATAAAGTGGGTCCGATAAAAATAAACATAATGTTAGCCACCAAAGTAAGATAAGGATTTTCATTTTCATTACAATTTATAAAAATGAAGCATAACAAAATGAAGAATTTAAAATTAATTGTTGACAGTATTTTCATATCTTTGAATAGCACTAAGCTTATTAATAAATTTTCGCCATTTTACGAAAGCATAGGGTTCCGAAGAAAACTTTCGTAAGACTAAATAACGTAGTTTGCCTTATGTTAAGAAACTTGGATATTAATAGAAGAATGAGAAAGTAGGTTGCATTAATTTATGTAACTACAGTTCACTTAAATAAGCAATATCTGCTAGCGATCAAGCGCTAAAAATCTCTGAACACTAGTAGTTCGACTTGGGTTCTAATAGGTGTGAATGGACTGACTGTCTTTGAGTTTTCAAGGTTTTACCATCGGTAATGTAAACACGAGACATTTTCCCTTATAAAATTCTCCACGAAGGCATGCTTCTCGTGCGCTTTGTTATGTTCTAAATAATCCAAACCAATCCAACTTAAATAAAGGAACAGTTAACTAAGATTAAGTTATTTAACACACTTTTGGAAGGTTCCCAGGACTAAATACAGAAATAAAATAAAAGTAAGAAATAAAAGAAGACTAAAATTAAAAAGTCAACGTAACACTAAATAACGTATGTACAGTGTAGCTTAACTTTGCAGAATTGAAAAGACTATAAACTTTCTATATGGCTTAGAGGTAACGGTAATGAAAATGGTGAATTAAACCGAGCGGTACGAATAGTTTTAGTGGAAGGTACAAAAGTTGTATAACAGGACAAACATAATTTATTACTGGAGGAAATTGTTACTTGTATTCGTCACGTCACTACGTCTGTATTCAACGTCGACGTTTTTATCTTTTCGGTTGGCGTGAACCATTTGAAATACTCCACTACGTAGATTAACACATCGTTTTTTTTCTATTGGTATACAATCAAGACAGTTGGAGACGTCTTGGAATTTATAGACTCTAAAGCAATCACAACACCTTGTAAAGCTGTCTTCGAATTCCTAGATTTTGCATACTGGTATGGCTTTAAATCTGTAGTCTCTTTCGTAATGGATTTAAGTCATTCCTTTACGCTGTCACTACATAAAACAAACCGTGACTGATAATTTAATTTTTCTTTAGTTTTCGGTAAAGGCAAAAATCCTTTTTGGATTTCTTTCAGTTCCCCCAAATATACCAATGTAGACAATTTGTAAAGTAGTATAAAATTATGAAAATCTGTATAAGGTTTAAACAGCAAATTTCTTGCGCAAAGAGCTAAGACAAATCATGATGCGAATGTGATGGATGTGTAGTCATTAGGTTATTTTTTAAAGAAAGAGTGATGAAAAATGAGCAACGCCCTCGCCAGGAATCGAACCACGGTCCTCTGGAATACGCTCCCAGCGTGCAGACCACTACACTACGAAGGCATGCTAAGGAGGCGGTAGAAATACCTTATATACGCCCCCTTTTAAAGGGCGACTGGGGTTTTTAGGGGACCCAATCGCCAAATTCTGGGTGTGGAGAATCATCATCCACCACCCTTTTAGTTCGGGCGCCACTGTAGAGTCATTAGGCTATTTTGTAAAGCCGGAGTGATGAAAAATGAGCAACGCCCTCCCCGGGAATCGAACCACGGTTTTCTGGAATACCTACAGACACTACGAAGATATGCTGAGAAGACGGGAGAAATACCTGATAGAAGATTAGGTTATTTCATTACGGCAAAGCCTCGAGGGCTATCTGCCTAAGGGGGAGGGATGCCTTCGTGGAGCACTTTCTAAGGGAAACTGGCTCGTATACACGTTACACATGGGGAAAACACACGTTACACAGCCAGCCCGTTCGCGGGATTCGAACCTCGGACCGAACTACCAGTGTTCAGCCACCCTGATAGAAGGAGAATGAAAGATAGGATGGGATGGGAGCCACTGGCCAGGTTACTGACCTAAGATTTAACCAAGCGGAGTTTGTGCCTGATCAGTGAGGAGATGGATAACTGTCAGAACCTTTTTTTTTTTTTTCACTTTCAAAAGAAAAGCTTACAAAGTCACAATTATTTGTGATACAGATCATCTGAGTTACATAGGATGTTGGTTACATAGGATATTTAAATTAGCTAAATTACTATGTTATCTTGTTTCGTGATGTTACATTGGATATAATTGCAGTTATTCTTGAAAAGTTGTACTTTATGTTACATATCGCGTTTCATAGTTTCATCTTAAGTTTCATTTACATTACACTTTATAGGATTCTTTCGATACATGAGTTATGTTAGGATGTAGTACATTACACCCTACATTATATTGTACAGTACATTATACATGGAATTACTAGGGATTGTTATATTAGAGTACATAAATTACGTCAGAATAAAAAACATTAAATTATACATTATATTATTCAATACATTATGTTTGGAATTACGTTGAATGCATTGCATAATATATAATACATTATACTTTACTATGTTCGCTTTTCACATACGTGTCTTTGACATAGAGCGCCTTACTGGAATACATAGCACATTACTGGCACTTAGTATACTGTACACTACATACATGGTACTAGTTACTTAGTGCTTTATACAATACTGGGATACATTTCTGGATTACATTATTGGGTTACATAGTATACATTACATAGTAAGAAACGCGTTATACTTTACTGTGTTCGCTTTTCATAGTTATGTCGTGACTTTCCTTTCAGTACATGTGCTTTTTAGATACAGTGCACTATATCATACATTAATTTATACAAAACATTATACGTGGAAGACATGGACTATATTACCGGATTACACAGTACATTACTGGTACTTAGTACATGGTACTCTACATACATATTGCTAATTACACAGTGCTTTACATAATGCTTTACTGGAATTCAGCATTGAATTACATTATTGGAATACTTTGAATACGTTACATAGTGTTTAGTATTCTATTCCATACTCTAAATTATTCACCACTCTGTACACGGTTTCATATAAGACAAATACATGATTTACAATTTAACCTTATATATTCTTCAATTCATTTGTTATGTTAGGATACAACATACTATGCCATTCAATTCATTATATATGGCATCTCATGGAGTATATTACACAGTCTGTAATACATAGAATGCTTTACATAGTTGTGCATATTAGGTTTGCACAGTCTTTTCACATTGCCTTATCTTTCAATCCTTATGTTATATTAGGATACAATTCACTAAAACATACGTTATCTTATTCAATACATTGAAGGTGGAATTACGTAGATTATATTGCATAGTATATATTACATGGAATACGTGGTATGATTACATAATAAATCATTTACTATTCATCTTACCTTACCTTTTAATACATATGTTACATTAACTCACACATTATATTATTCAGTACATTTAATTATGAAGTTACATTCAAACATGGAAAGCATGGAATTGAAAGGAATTCATTTCACAGTATTTGGTACGTTTCGGTTTACTGCGTCGTCTGGATTTCATTCACATTTCACGTTACGTTTCCTGTCGATACCTATGCTGTGTTTGAAAATGGTACATTGTGCCATACTTATATTATTCAAAATTTTATACATGGTATTACATGAAACACACTACTTAGCATATAATACATGGAATACGTTGCAGAGTAGCATAGTGTTTCATTTACTTTTCACATTACCTATCCTTACAATACCTATATTATGTTACAATACTATATTGTAGATCATACAATTCATTGCATAAACCTTACAAATTACATTACAGATTGTTATTTACAGTGACACCTTGGTGTCTGGTCACTCTAAGCCCATTGCTGGAACCTTGCTAGTTGATTTTTGCTGGCAGTAACATCTGGCAGCTATCTTGTAGAGTACTTTTCCTTTACATTTGTGGATTATATTAGATAGTATACGATGCTGCAAGAGGTGTTGAGTCCATCCGTGTTTGTATCGCTCTGCTGGTTGTCTGATATGAAACGGTCTGGTTGATTCACATAGAAATGCGCAGTGATCCGGTGTACCTTGCAGTCCACATTCACATTGATCACTGTCCCTAAGTCCAAAGCGGTGTAGATAGTCTGAGAAAGGACCGTGTCCTGTGAGGAATGTCGTTAGTGCTGAAGAGTGAGACAATATATTTGTGGAGACGCTTGGGAGAAACAGAAATGTTCTGCGCCCTGTGCTTGAATTGTTACAGCGGTACTGCCATTGCGATATTAAGGCCTGCTGCGTTATTCTTTTGAGACGAGAGTCAGGGAGCGGCAGGTTGTTAATCTGGTAGATGGTGGCCGGTGCAAGCTTCTTTAGTCTTGGTATCTGCATGCTCGTTCCCTGCGATGCCAGTATGAGCTAGCAAGTGTGCCTTGAAAATTTGGTTAGCTAACTGGTTTTTCAAAACATGCAAGACTGTCTGGGGAAGGAGGGATGTCTTCGCCTAGGATTTTTGGAGTTATTTGAAAGCAACTGTCTTGTACCCACGTTACAGTTGGAAAAGCCACAAGAAACATACAGACGACCCGTTCATCGGAACAAAATTCAGAACGGATTACCTGTTCAATGATTCATGGGGTGATTTGAAAATTTCAAGCAAATATTGCTAGATAT